AGGAAATTTTTGGGGAAGATCTCCGGTGGAAGATCTGGAGGAAAATCTGGGCAGGGATGCGGGGAATGACCAGATGAAGATTCGGAGGGGTGAGATGCCAAGAAAGCTGGAGGAAGATTTGGCGGGAGACCTGGGGAACATCTGAAGGAAAATCTGGAGAGCGATCTGTTGGGAGGTCTGGAGGAAGACCTGGAGGAAGATCTGGCGGAAGATCTGGCGAATACATCCCCGTTACGAAAGTTAATTCATCTTGGCTAAAGTTGACATGTGTGGGCGCTGTGGTGAGAAGTGGCATGGGAGTGATTCTTCCTTGTGGTTTCATACGGGGAGAGATTCAGAGTTGCCTGGAAGTGACCGGGAGTGGTTTCTCCCTTGTGAATTTACGGGGGAGAGATTTTATCCTGAATTGGCTATATACTAGTAATGTTACCAGGGAGAACCCCGGAAATCTCCCCCGCCGAGCCAGGCCGAAGACTGCCGCGCTAGGAGTCTACGGGGGGACGGGGTGCCACTCGGAGACGCCCTAGTCGTCAGTGCTCAAGATGAATAACTTTCGTAACGGGTAAGCGGCATCTCACACTGCACTTCTACAAGGGTGAGACCAGCGCTACCCCTTGACAGCAGCGCCTTTGGCCGCCACAAGGCTCTTGCACGTGCCCCGCAGACCCTTGGCAACGTTGCCTGCCACGGTCTGCGACTTCGCCGACTTAATCACCCGCCTCACGCGCGCCTTCTAGGCCATCTTGCCCAGGACGGGACGCTTCGCCAAGGCGTCGGGGAGGTCAGTCGAGCGCGATGCTGGGCCCCGCTCGGATATCGAATTTGGGATCCTCATGACATTGGCTGACATTGACGTGTGAAAAAAAGTCGTGGGTCCTCATCCCCGTTACGAAAGTTAATTCATCTTGGCTAAAATTGACATGTGTGGGCGCTGTGGTGAGAAGTGGCATGGGAGTGATTCTTCCTTGTGGTTTCATACGGGGAGAGATTCAGAGTTGCCTGGAAGTGACCGGGAGTGGTTTTTCCCTTGTGAATTTACGGGGGAGAGATTTTATCCTGAATTGGTTATATACTACTAATGTTACCAGGGAGAACCCCGGAAATCTCTCCCGCCGAGCCAGGCCGAAGACTGCCGCGCTAGGAGTCTACGGGGGGACGGGGTGCCACTCGGAGACGCCCTAGTCGTCAGTGCTCAAGATGAATAACTTTCGTAACGGGTAAGTACCTTCAGGAAAATCTGGGGGAGGAGATCTGTCGTCAGGTCTGGAGGAGGATCTGCAGGAAAATCTGGTGGAAGATCTGGTGGGAAGTCTGCTGGAAGATCTGGAGGAACATCTGGTGGAAGATCTCGTGCAAGATCTCGCGGGAGAATCTGAAGGGTATAAATGGGGAGCGTTCAAAGGAAGACTTGGCGGGGCGATCTGGCAACAGATCTGGAGGAAGATCTGGGGGACTATCTGGAGAGAGATCTTGCAGGAGGTCTGGGGAAGATCTGGAGGAAAATCTGGGAGAAGATCTGGTGGAAGATCTGGGGGAAAATCTGGTGAATGTGCGGAGAAATTTGGCGGGTTGATATGGCGACGGATCCGTGGGAAAATCCGGCAGAATATCTGGCGGAAGATCTGGAGGAAAATCGGGAAGGAGATCTGGTGGAAGATCTGGAGGAAGATCTGGAGGAACATCTGGAAGAGTATATCTTGGAAGATCTGCGGGGGAGATCCGAGGAATGTCCTGAAGAAGATTTGGCCAGGTGGCATGGCAATAGATCTGGAGACGGATCTGGCGAAACATCAGGGGAACATCTTGAAAAAATGCGCATGGAGATATGGTGGAAGGTCTGGTGGAAGATCTGGTGGAAAATCTGGGGGAAGATTTGGTGATAGATCTGGGAGGAAAATCAAGATCGTTGGGCAGATCTGGGGAATGTCCAGCTAAGATTTGGCAGAGTGATCTGGAGGAGGATCCACCGGATCATCTGGAAAATATCAAAAAGGAGAATCTGGAGGAATATCTGGTGGAAGTCTGCGGGAATATCTGGAGGAACATATGGCGGAAGATCTCTTGGAAGATCTGGGGGGGAGATCTGGAAATGTCTAGCCGGAAGATATGGTGATAGATCTGGTGGAAGATATGGCGGAAAATCTGGGAAATATATATATGGAGGAACATCTGGAGGGGTTTCCGGTGGGAGGTTTGGAGGAAGATCTGGAGGAGAATCTGGGGGGAGACCTGGCGGAAGATCTGGGGGAAGATCTACATGAAGACTTGGGAATGTCGCGAGGAAGATTTGGCGGGTGATACGGCGTTAGAGATGGAGGAAGATCTGGATCCGCGCCGACGAGGCGAAGATCGGCCAAGGAGCCTCCAGGACGGCCTAAAATGGCCTCCAAGACGGCCCACCAGCAGCAGCACCAGCAGCACCAGCACCAGGACCAGCAGCAGCACCAGCAGCAGCACCACCAGCAGCTTCATCAACAGCAGCATCAGCAGCACCAGCACCAGCAGCTTCATCATCAGCAAGGGAAAAATCTGGAGAAAGATCTGGGGAAAGATCTAGAGTCTAGAAAAAGATCTGGGTGAAGATATGGAGGCAGATCTCGGGAAAGATCAGGGGGGATATCAGGGGAAAAGTCTGCGAGAAGATCTGAGGGGAGATCCTTAGGAAGATCAGGAGGAAGATCTTAAGGCGAATGCGGAAGAAAATCGGAGGAAGATCTGGGAGGAGATCCGGAAGAAGATATGGAGGAAGATCAGGGATAAGATGTGGGGGGAACATCTGGAAGGAGATCGGGGGGAAATGTGCAGGAACGTCCCCGCGACCTCGCAGAAACCTGGGCGGACGTAAGGCACATCGGATAACCGTGAACGGGAAGATCTGGAAGATCCACAAGAATACACGCACTGAAGATTGCAAGTGGGAATGGAAACGGATGAGGCGCGCCGCGCGAAGCGCGAAGACGCCGCGAACAGACAGCGGGCGCCAACAACAAAACATGGACACCTTGCGTGCGCACAGGCAGAGCGCGACCAAAACGCGCGGCTCGTGCCCGCGCGGCGAGCACGGGGCGCCCGGCAAAACGAAGGCCCGATTCCCCAAACGGGCGGGCACGCGAGTACCGTGTAGAGTACAGTCGGGGCATTGACCTAAGGAACCCAAAATAAGGAACGAGGCCCATTTTCTCCCATAAGTTGAACTTCGATTTCCGATCGACAACATAAGGAAAACCTCAGGCAAACTGCGAAACACATAAGAAACGCGGAGCCCCTCCCCAACGAAAAAGGTTCCTTATTCAGGGCCCCGACAGTATGCGCCAAACGTGTTCCCGAACGCATGCAGAACGAGTATCAAAAAAGATAACGAAAACAACAGGGAACCAAACAAGTAAACAATGTTCAGCGACGACGGGGACGACGGTCAGGACGACGACGAGGTCTACGACCAGGAGGGCGCGAACGACGGAACACGACGCCGACGACGACGACGACGACGACGACGACGACGACGACGACGACGACGACGACGACGACGACGACGACGACGACGGACGACAGCACCCGCAGAGTCTCCCGTGGAGAATCCGGCCCGATTCTCTATGGGAGACCCTGTTCCGAGGACGAGCCTTTGGGGTGCTGTGGGGTCCCGTGGGTTGCTGTGGGGTCCCGTGGGGTGCTGCGGAGATCTGGGGGAAGACCTGGGGCAAGATCTGGGAGAAGATCTGGAGGAATATCTGCGGGAAGATCGCCATGACCATTTTTTGAACATAGGCTTTGGATCTGGAGAAAGATCCAAGGGAAGATCTGAGACCTGGGGGAAGATCTAGGGGAAGACCCGGGGAAAGATCTAGGTCAAGATCTCGGTGCAACTCTGGGGGAAGATCTGGGGAAAGAGTTGGGGAAAGATCCAAGGGAAGATCTGGGGGAGAAAACTAGGGGAAGATCTTGATCTAGGGGAAGACCTGGAGGAATATCTGGGGGAAGATCTGGGGGAAGATCTGGGGAAAGATCTCGCGGCAGATCTGCGGGAAGATCTGGGGGAAGATCTCGGGAAAATTTTGGGTGAAGATCTGGAGGAAGATCTGGGGGAAGATCTGGGTGAACATCTGAGTGAAGATCTGGAGCGAGATCTGGAGAAAGATCTGGAGCGAGATCTGGAGAAAGATCTGGGGGGAGATCTGGAGAATATCTGTGGGAAATCTGGGGGGAGATCGCCGTGGCCATTTCTAAAACTTAGGTTTTCAAGTTTCACTCGCGTGATGACGGTACGGCGTGGAACACAACAAAGAATCTTAAGCATATGGTTTAGACTAGGTCCGCGAGGCTGAGGCCGGGCATGTCGTCCTAGTTCTTCTGAACGCATGATCATCATCATCATCATCATCATCATCATCATCATCATCATCATCATCATCATCATCATCATCATCATCATCATCATCATCATCATAAGAAGCATCATCATCATCCTCATCATCATCACCATCACCATCACCATCACCATCACCACCACCACCACCATCATCATCATCATCGTCATCATCAACATCATCATCATATGCATCATCCCCATTAGATGCATCATCAGCAGTATCATCATCAGCATCATCAGCATATGCAGCATCATCATCATCACCAGCAGCATCATCATCACCATCGTGATCATCCTCATCAGCATCATCAGCATCATCATCAGCATCAGCATCACCATCATCATCACAATCATGTTCACCATCATCATCAGCATCATCATCGTAATCCTCATCATCGTCATCATCATCAGCCTCATCAGCATCTCCATCGAAATCGATACCATCATCAGCAGCATCATCATCACCATCATCATCGTTGTCGTAGTCATCATCAGCATCATTATCGTTATCGTCATCTGCATCATCATCTTCATCAGTATCATCATTATCGGCATCATCATCATCATCATCATCATCATCATCATCACCATCACCATCACCATCACCATCACCATCATCATCATCATTATCATCATCATCAGCTTCCTCCTCCCTCCGCGCGACTGCGGCTTGAGTCATAGCCAGCGACGGACAACGGGAGGGAAGAAGGCGGAAGGAGGCGAAAGAAAGAGGGGAGAAGAGCTGGGTAAAAGTGTGGGGGAAAGAGGAGGAAAGAAGCTGGCCAGAGCGAGGAGAACAGCTAGGGTAGAGGGCTCGATTGAGAGGAGGCGGGAGGATGCGAAGGGATGCGCGAATTAGAGCGGGGAGGAGCTGGAGAGACGAGGGCAAGAGTGAGGAGAGAAGCCTCAGGGGCGATCAGGAAGGCGGCGAGAATGGTAGGGGAGGCAGTGGCGGGGAGAGAGCTGGAGGGCGCGAAGGGAGGCGCGAAGGAGAGGGGAGAGGAGCTGGGGAGCGCAGGGCCACGCGGCGAGCGGAGCCAGAAGCGAGGAGGGCCGGGATCGCGCCGTGGCCGACGTCTCCGCGCGGGAACGCGGCCGCCCTGGCAGCCCCGCCGCGTGCGCGTTCTGGCCTCGCCCGGGCGAGAGGGGAGCAGAAGCGCCTCCTCACCGGCAGCAGCCGGCCAGGCCCCCTGGTGGCGCGAGGCGCGCCCGGGCAGAGCGAGCGAGAGGGACAGGGAAGCTACAGAGACTTGCCCCACGGAGGCGGAGGAGAGGACGGAGGCGGAAGTGCGGAGGATTAGCAACAGGAGGACGAGGATGAGGATGAGGATGAGGATGAGGATGAGGATGAGGATGAGGATGATGATGATGATGATGATGATGATGATGATGATGACGATGACGATGATGATGATGATGATGATGATGATGATGATGATGATGATGATGATGATGATGATGATGATGATGATGACGAGGAGGAGGAGGAGGAGAACGACGATGACGGCGAAGACGTGGAAGAGAAGGAGGAGGACGAGGAGGAGGGAAAGGACAATACGAAGGATGGGGAGGATGGGGAGGATGAGAAGGATGAGAAGGATGAGGAGGAGGAGATGCGCTGCCGTCGGATCTGGAAATCGGGTCCAGGACTGGGCGGCGAGGAAGGAGAAAGGACATGCTGAGGGGGAAAGAGGGGTGGGGAGGGACGGAATCATCCCCTCGAGGTGATATGCTGAGACCGTGGACACAGACTCTTCAGCGAAGAGCTCATTACGGTGCCCAGCGGGGGACTGGCAGCAGCCCTGCAACGTCGGCACAGGACAGGAGGGGGAAGGCACAACGACAAAAGCACTCACGTGCTGTACCGCGCCTTTGCACCCGTGGCCTGGCAGGGAGACGGGGCTCACGACATCCCAGAGAACAAACCCAGGAGGCGAGGGCGACCCTTCAGCAGGTACCTCCCCCTCCCCCTCCATCCAACACTAATCCGCCTCCCTCCACCTCATAATCCTCATCCTCACCCTCAGCCTCAACCGCCTGCTCCTCCTCCTCCTGCTCCTGCTCCTCCTCATCATCGCCATTTGCCATACGAATAATCATCAGCCTCACAATCATCAACAACAACAGCACCATCATCATCAGCAGCAGCATCATCGCCATCATCATCAGCATCATCATCGTCATCATCGGCATCATCATAAGCAGCTTCATCATCTTCTTCATCATCATCATCATCACATCATCATCAGCAGCATCATCATCAATATCGTCATCATCCTCCTCCTCCTCATCATCATCATCATCATCGTCGTCAGCATCGTCCGCCTCCTCCTCCTCCCCACCATCATCATAATCGTTACCATCGTCATCAGCACCAAAATCCACATCATCGTAAAAATTGGCAACCTTCTAACCATCAACATCATTATCATCATCAGCATCATCAGCATCATCAGCATCATCAGCATCATCATGATGAATTGAATAGTCATCACCAGCAGCAGCCTCATCATCCTCATCAGCATCATCATCCTCCTCATCAATCCCCATCCTCCTCAGCATCATCATCAACACCATCATCCTCATCATCAGCAGCCTCATCAACAGCCGCATCAGCCGCATCATCATCAGAAGCAGTATCACTACAACCACCCTCATCACCATCATCAGCATACACAGCATCACCATTGTCGGTCTCATCGTCACCATCATCACCACTACCATCGTCAGCATCAGCGTCATGATCAGCATCATCAGCATCATCAACATCAGCATCGTCATCGTATATAATCACCATCGTCAGCGACATCAGCATCCTCATCATCATCCTCAGAAGCAGCATCATCATCACCGCCACCACCACAAAGCCCACCATCACCACCGCCCCCCCGCATCATTATCAGCATCATTAGCATCATCATCAGCATCATCAGCATCATCATCAACAACAGCACCAGCATCATCATCACCACCAGCAGCAGCAGCTGCAGCTGCAACAGCAGCATCAGCGTCACTATCACCATCATCAGCGTCATCATCATCAGCAGCATCATCAGTATCCGCATCAGCATCATCATCCTCACCGTCACCATATCATCAGCATCAACATGATCCTCATCACCACCACCATCACCATCATCAACACCACCATCACCATGGTCATCATCATAGTCAGCATCGTCATCATCATCGTCATCGTCATCGTCATCATCATCATCACTATCAGCATCATCACCATCGCCATCACCACCATCACCATCACTATCACAGCATCACCAGCATCACCATCATCAACATCATCTTCAGCATCAGCCGCATCGTCAGCATCACGGTCACCATCATCATCATCATCGTTTCCCCTATCATCGTCGTCATCAGCATCAGCACCACAACCACCATCATCACCACCAACATCATCGTCATCACCATCATCATCAGCAGCATCGCCAGCATCAGCATCATCAGCATCATCATCAGCATGACCATCACCGTCATCATCACCGTCATCATCATCAACATCATCATCAGCATCATCATCAGCGTGTTCATCATCATCATCATCAGCATCATCAACATCATCATCATCATCAGCATCAGCATCATCATCATCATCAGCATCATCATCATCATCATCATCATCATCATCAGCAGCATCATCATCATCATCATCATCATCATCATCATCATCATCATCATCATCATCATCATCATCATCATCATCATCATCATCATCATCATCATCATCATCATCATCATCATCATCATCATCATCATCATCATCATCATCATCATCATCATCATCATCATCATCATCATCATCATCATCATCATCATCATCATCATCATTATTATCAGCAGCAGCAGCATCATTCATTCCTCATCATCACTATCATCAGGGGAGCAAGGGCCTCACTACGCGCATGGCGAGCCCGAGGAAGGTGATGAACACCATCGGAGCCAGGGTGGACGGGCCCCCGCGCGCGCTGTTGGTGTCGGACTACCTCCTTCCCGTCGGCGCGGGGGGGCCCAAGGCGGGAAGGAAGGCGCCACGCGGCCTCAGCCCCGTCGGATGCCACTGGGCGGCCCGCGCGCAAGAAATGACGAGAAGGTTCGTCGCAGGCCAGGCAGCAGGTGGAGCCCCGAGCGTCAGCCAGCGGGAGAGGGCGGAGCAGGTGTTACGTTGATCATAGGACGCTGCTGCTGGAGCGGTGCACCACTTTCAGCGGGGGCCCAGAGGCCAGTGCTCCGACAACCTCTGCGAGGACGGGACCCCCGCAGGAGGTCAGAAGAGACTGGATGGTGCACGACTTCTGGACGAAGGGCGCCTGACGCTTCCTGTCCGCAAGGAAGGTGTCTGAGGCGAAGACACTGGAGGCGGGAGCAGCCCTGCCAAGGCCTACACGTGGAGGGCGTGCGAGCCGCGGCGAGGCCCTTCCCTGCGAGGACGTGGATGGGCGTCGACAATCTGGGGCCACGCCAGCTCAGCCTCGTGTGAGACGAGCTCATCGAGGCGGTGATTGACCCAGCCCTGTGGAGGACGATCAATGGAGAGGAAGCATGTTGCCAAATGATTCCCAGTTGTCTAAAACTTGTGCTAAACATGTTTCAAACATGTAAAACGAACATGTTCAAAACATGCTGCGAACATGTTTCCGACATCTTAAACACATTCGTATTTCAATGATAGGACGCTTAAGGCGTCCATTGCCGTGGCATCCACAAACCTGGCCCGCCAGCCCCCTCCCGTCAGGGGGGGCGGCACCAGGCCGCCCGCACGCCGGAGGGCACATACCCCGATCCTTGACGAACGAACAACACACACCCATACCTATGGGGAGGTCGGAGCGAGAAGGACTGGCCATGGGTATGGGTGCGGGTTCTCGGACCCCTGGGAAGGCTCCCGTTCGAGCGGGGACCCCCATCCGACAACACGCGCCCATAGCTCGTTCTGCCCCCCCCATGTGGGTATGGGTGCGTGTTGCTCGTTCGTCCATCCTGGGCCCAGGGTGATCCTGGGCCAGGATCGGTGTTGGCGTATGGTTGGTGCCCTCCAAATCGAGCTCATCGAGGCGGTGAGCGACCTGGCCCGCCGGAGGAGGAGGAGGAGGAGGAGGAGGAGGAGGAGGAGGAGGAGGAGGAGGAGGAGCAGGGGGAGGGGCAGGGGAGGGGGAGGGGGAGGGGGAGGCCCCCTCCCGTAATGGGGGGGCGGCCGCGGGCCGCCGGCACGCCGGAGGGCAGGAGCCGCAGGCGCCCCTCGAGGCCTCGAGGCGCACGGGGCCCTGCGGCCCCTCCAGGGAGGGGCGGCGGCACAGGGGGCTTCGGCTCGCTTTCGCCTCGTCGTCGTCGTCGCTCGTCGTCGTCGTCGTCGTCGTCGCTCGTCGTCGTCGTCGTCGTCGTCGTCGTCGTCGTCGTCGTCGTCGCCGTCGCTCGTCGTCGTCGTCGTCGTCGTCGTCGTCGTCGTCGTCGTCGTCGTCGTCGTCGTCGTCGTCGTCGTCGTCGTCGTCGTCGTCGTCGTCGTCGTCGTCGTCGGTCGTCGTCGTCGTCGTCGTCGTCGTCGTCGTCGTCGTCGTCGTCGTCGTCGTCGTCGTCGTCGTCGTCGTCGTCGTCGTCGTCGTCGTCGTCGTCGTCGTCGTCGTTCGTTGTCGTCGTCGTCGTCGTCGTCGTCGTTCG